TTTGTAACCATCATTTGTTTGAGTAAAGCATACTTCCAGCTCTCCGTTCTTTCTTTGTCCCTACACCGTTCTTAGCTCTCTTAAGCTTTCAATGCCTACGTTTTATTAGGCTTTGCCTAGCCTTGCATGAATTGTGGATCTTGAAGCTGAGCTACCACGTTCTCGTCGGTTGTTTAAGTGCTAGCTTCGCACGTTTACTTAACCAGACTAAAGGACGGGACGTTCTAGAGGACGCTAGATTTCTCATGCCAATTCTACATTGATTGGAAATTTTCTAGTAGCAACCAGACTTTGCTGGAAATATGGAAAAGCCTCACGAGGATTCCTAGGTGGGTCTGGAACGGGATAGTGCTTTCTAAGGACTTATGGAATCTATGAAATTCTACACATGGACTTGAATTCTCTAGATAATGATTATTTTATTCTTTATATAAAATTCGCTTGAACTTGGGGACCTGGCATATAAATACTCCGAACCTCACTCATTTGTAACCATCATTTGTTTGAGTAAAGCATACTTCCAGCTCTCCGTTCTTTCTTTGTGCCTACACCGTTCTTAACTTTCTTAAGCTTTCATTGCATACGTTTTATTAGGCTTTGCCTAGCTTTGCATGAATTGTGGGTCTTGAGGCTGAGCTAGCACGTTCTCGTTGGTTGTTTAAGTGCTAGCTTTGCACGTTTCCTTAACCAGACTAAGGGACGAGACGTTCTAGATGACGCTAGATTTCTCGGACCAATTCCACATGGATTTGAAATTTTCTAGAAGCAACCGGACTTTGCTGGAAATGTGGAAAAGACTCCCGAGAATTCCTAGGTCGGTCTGGAACGAGATAGAACTTTCTAAGGACTTATGAAATTCTATGAAATTCCACACATGGACTATAATTCTATAGATAATTATTATTGTATTCTTTGTATAGAATTTTCTGGGACTTGGGGACTTATTCTATAAATACTTCAAGCATCCCTCATTTGTAACCATCATTTGTTTGACTAAAGCATACTTCAAGCTCTCCGTTCTTTCTTTGTCCCTACACCTTTCTTAACTTTCTTAAGCTTATATTGCCTACGTTTTATTAGGCTTTGCATGAATTGTAGGTCTTGAGTCTGAGCTAGCACAGTCTCGTTGGTTGTTTAAGTGCTAGCTTTGCACGTTTCCTTAACCAGACTAAGGGACGAGACGTTCTAGATGACGCTAGATTTCTCGGACCAATTCCACATGGATTTGAAATTTTCTAGAAGCAACCGGACTTTGCTGGAAATGTGGAAAAACCTCCCGAAAATTCCTAGGTCGGTCGGGAACGAGATAGAGCTTTCTCAGGAGTTATGGAATTCTATGAAATTCCACACATGGACTAGAATTCTCTAGATAATTATTATTTTATTCTTTATATAGAATTCGCTTGAACTTGGGGACTTGGCATATAAATACTCCGAACCTCCCTCATTTGTAACCATCCTTTGTTTGAGTAAAGCATATTTTCAAGCTCTCTGTTCTTTCTTTGTGCCTACACCGTTTATAATTTTTTTAAACTTTCTTTGCCTACGATCTATTAGGCTTTGCCTAGCTTTGCATGAATTGTGGGTCTAGAGACTAAGCTAGCGCGTTCTCGTTGGTTGTTTAAGTGCTAGCTTCACACGTTTCCTTAACCAGACTAAGGGTTGGGACGTTCTAGAGGACGCTAGATTTCTCGGGCCAATTCCACATGGATTTGAAATTTTCTAGAAGCAACCGAACTTTGCTGGAAATGTGGATAAGCCTCCCGAGAATTCCTAGGTCGGTCTGGAACGAGATTGAGCTTTCTAAGGACTTATGGAATTCTATGAAATTCAACACATGGACTAGAATTCTATAGATAATTATTATCTTATTCTTTGTATAGAATTTTCTGGGACTTGGGGACTTATTCTATAAATACTCCAAGCATCCCTCATTTGTTCATTTGTTTGAGTAATATACTTCAAGCTCTCCGTTCTTTCTTTGTGCCTACACCGTTCTTAGCTTTCTTAAGCTTTCATTGCTTACGTTTTATTAGGCTTTGCCTAGCTTTGCATGAATTGTAGGTCTTGAAGCTGAGCTAGCACGTTCTCGTTGGTTGTTTAAGTGCTAGCTTTGCACGTTTCCTTAACCAGACTAAGAGACGGGACGTTCTAGAGAATGCTAGATTTCTCGGGCCAATTCCACATGAATTTGAAATTTTCTAGAAGCAACCGGACTTTGCTGGAAATGTGGAAAAACCTCCCGAGAATTCCTAGGTCGGTCTGGAACGAGATAGAACTTTCTAAGGACTTATGGAATTCTATGAAATTCCACACATGGACTAGAATTCTATAGATAATTATTATTTTATTCTTTGTATAGAATTTTCTGGGACTTGGGGACTTATTCTATAAATACTTCAAGCATCCCTCATTTGTAAACATCATTTGTTTGACTAAAGTATACTTCAAGCTCTCCGTTCTTTCTTTGTGCATACACCGTTCTTAACTTTCTAAAACTTTTATTGCCTACGTTTTATTAGGCTTTGCATGAATTGTGGGTCTTGAGTCTGAGCTAGCACGTTCTCGTTGGTTATTTAAGTGCTAGCTTTGCATGTTTCCTTAACAAGACTAAGGGACGGGACGTTCTAGAGGACGCTAGATTTCTCGGGCCAATTCCACATGGATTTGAAATTTTCTAGAAGCAACCGAACTTTGCTGGAAATGTGGATAAGCCTCCCGAGAATTCCTAGGTCGGTCTGGAACGAGATTGAGCTTTCTAAGGACTTATGGAATTCTATGAAATTCAACACATGGACTAGAATTCTATAGATAATTATTATCTTATTCTTTGTATAGAATTTTCTGGGACTTGGGGACTTATTCTATAAATACTTCAAGCATCCCTCATTTGTAAACATCATTTGTTTGACTAAAGTATACTTCAAGCTCTCCGTTCTTTCTTTGTGCATACACCGTTCTTAACTTTCTTAAGCTTTTATTTCCTATGTTTTATTAGGCTTTGCATGAATTGTGGGTCTTGAGTCTGAGCTAGCACGTTCTCGTTGGTTGTTTAAGTGCTAGATTTGCACGTTTCCTTAACCAGACTAAGGGACGGGACGTTCTAGAGGACGCTAGATTTCTCGGGCCAATTCCACATGGATCTGAAATTTTCTAGAAGCAACCGGACTTTGCTGGAAATGTGGAAAAGCCTCCCGAGAATTCCTAGGTCGGTCTGGAACGAGATAGAACTTTCTAAGGACTTATGGAATTCTATGAAATTCCACACATGGATTAGAATTCTATAGATAATAATTATTTTATTCTTTGTATAGAATTTTCTGGGACTTGGGGACTCATTCTATAAATACTTCAAGCATCCCTCATTTGTAAACATCATTTGTTTGACTAAAGCATACTTCAAGCTCTCCGTTCTTTCTTTGTGCATACACCGTTCTTAACTTTCTAAAACTTTTATTGCCTACGTTTTATTAGGCTTTGCATGAATTGTGGGTCTTGAGTCTGAGCTAGCACGTTCTCGTTGGTTGTTTAAGTGCTAGCTTTGCACGTTTCCTTAACCAGACTAAGGGACGGGACGTTCTAGAGGACGCTAGATTTCTCGGGCCAATTCCACATGGATTTGAAATTTTCTAGAAGCAACCGGACTTTGCTGGAAATGTGGAAAAGCCTCCCGAGAATTCCTAGGTCGGTCTGGAACGAGATAGAACTTTCTAAGGACTTATGGAATTCTATGAAATTCCACACATGGACTAGAATTCTATAGATAATTATTATTTTATTCTTTGTATAGAATTTTCTGGGACTTGGGGACTTATTTTATAAATGCTTCAAGCATCCCTCATTTGTAAACATCATTTGTTTGACTAAAGCATACTTCAAGCTCTCCGTTCTTTCTTTGTGCATACACCGTTCTTAACTTTCTTAAGCTTTTATTGCCTACGTTTTATTAGGCTTTGCATGAATTGTGGGTCTTGAGTCTGAGCTAGCACGTTCTCGTTGGTTGTTTAAGTGCTAGATTTCTCGGAATGGACGTTCCTTAACCAGACTAAGGGACGGGACGTTCTAGATGACGCTAGATTTCTCGGACCAATTCCACATGGATTTGAAATTTTTTAGAAGCAACCGGACTTTGCTGGAAATGTGGAAAAGCCTCCCGAGAATTCCTAGGTCGGTCTGGAACGAGATAGAGCTTTCTAAGGACTTATAGAATTCTATGAAATTCCACACATGGACTAGAATTCTCTAGATAATTATTATTTTATTCTTTATATAGAATGCGCTTGAATTTGGGGACTTGGCATATAAATATTCCGAACCTCCCTCATTTGTAACCATCTTTTGTTTGAGTAAAGCATATTTCAAGCTCTCTGTTCTTTCTTTGTGCCTACACCGTTCATAGTTTTCTTAAGCTTTCTTTGCCTACGTTCTATTAGGCTTTGCCTAGCTTTGCATGAATTGTGGGTCTTGAGGCTGAGCTAGCACGTTTTCGTTGGTTGTTTAAGTGCTAGCTTTGCACGTTTCCTTAACCAGACTAAGTGGAATTCGGTAAAGTCCATCCTACTTAGCAGCAAATCAGATTGGTAAAAGAGGTAATTTTGATCAGCAGTAAATCAGGACTGATAAAGTGTTAAGGCAGATGTAAAATAGATAGTTACAAGTTGAATTTTTTTTTACAAGTGATAAATAAATCACTTCTTGTGATTCTAATGTAGCAACATGAACAAATTAGCATCAAAAGATTCATTGATATGGTTCAAATCTAGCAACAATTACAACTAAAATATCATTAATAACCATAGCCCAAATACGACTAATTAAGTCTACCGTTACATAAGTACAGACCACAAAACTATCAAAATTCAATATAACTCTGCTCATGTGTTTTAGTTTCATCTAATCATTCAACCCTTCTCTCTATTTTGTTTGCATGCCATTGTCCAAAGAATCAAAGGAAAAAAAATATCCAACACGCAGTTGTCCAAAGAATTTACAAAACGTACCTGTCTTAGGACCATGATTTTCAACTTCTATACTGATCTGTTGCTCCACAATAGAGATTGCTCTCTGAAGGTTATTTTGATCAATTTCATACTCCCTATCCCAGAACTGCGGTGCCTTTTTGCCATCCTGCTCAATGGTGCTCTCTTGACGACCCCGAGAAGCTTTGGAACAAGCACAAGCACCACCTATCCGAGTGACATCAGTTGGCAGTACAGTGATCAAGGAATAATGCCAAAGAACATCGAGAAGAAGAGGCTCAAATCAATAAATGCGTACATGATGCTGATGGGGGAAGAACCTGATAGATTCCGGTTATGGGCAATCTGAATTCGATGACAGCGATCAATCAACCCACGACGAGAGAGGACGAGGCAGAGAGGCAATTCAAAGTCGCGCCCGAAGACCTAAAAAATACGACCCTATTTTTTAGATATGAAACCATGTTATAGTAAAAATATATCTCTGTCCATAAAATTGCTCAGCAGGTCATATTAGCTCTCTTTTTTATTCAATAAAGAAAAAAAGAACCAGGAAGGCAGAACACTACAAACTAAAAGCGGAAAAACGGCAGGAGAGAAATCAAATCATAGCAATAAAACAGTATTCTCTGCTTTTTTTTTTTTTTTTGCTTTTCCAAGGCAGTGGTAATGAAGTTTTCCCAAAAATAACTTTGGAAAACACTACCAATCAATTCAAATCAAAAGGAAGTGCATGGATACAATACATCATGTGAAGACACTTTCATATAACAGCGAAACCAGAAAACAAAGAAAACACTGCACCAAAACAAAGGGCAAATGGTACCTTTATCCTTTGAAGATCAAGCCGCTTCAACCAGCGCTTTGCTTAGCTTCCCATGGGCGAATTATACCGCTTTTATAGACTGGTTGCCGACCTTAGATTTGGGAATCTGAAATCATGGCACAAATTGTAATCGATTTTTTTTTTTTTGGCTAATTTCCTAATTATCTGAATGCCAAAATCGGATTACCTTTTTTTTTGTGGCCCAAAATAAAACCCAATCTTTTTTTCTTGTGGCGTTCCCACCGGCGATGGCCCCGTCGTTTCTGGCTTCCCGTATGTGGTTTGTTTGGATGAGGTGGAGGGTAGCAGTGCGTTTGTTTAGGAGGTGGAGGATGAGCAGGGAGATATGTGTTGTTCGTTATTGATGTTTGGAAATAGATCTGAGACGGAGACTGGCGAAGGGAACAGCGGCGGAGGTAGAAATGTGGGGAACGACAAGGTGGGAGAAAGTTTAGGTTAGTGAAGACCCGACCCAGTCACGTCGTCATTTTAAGGGTTGGGGATTTTTTTTGAAAACAAAAATCGAAAAAAAGGAGGAGACAATGTCGTTTTCTTCGTTGGGGTTTTTTTTAGATTTTAATTTGTGTGATGCACTGAATTTATAAATTCTCGTTTTTACCCCGAATATAAGTGACTTAATACTGATCGTCAGATCGAGTCCATCCGACGGACAAAATCGCTTTGACGGTGAGCCTGAATATTTCTTGAAATTTTTACTTCTACTATGCCTACGAAATTTTTAAATTGAGATTTATGAAGTCCTGTTTATACCCCTAATAAGTCGCTGACGTCATATCAATTCCATTCGACGGACGAGATTGCTTTGAAGGTGGTCATGAATATTTCTTGGGCATTTAATTTCTTGCCTACTGTGCCTTTATATTAAGTACTAGTCTTGTTCCGTCGCGCGTTGCGCGACCAGTCTTTACTAATACTTGTGTAATACAAATCGTAATTAAGAATATATAGAAAAACATATTCCAACTCCGTGAATATTTAGAAGAAACATATTTGTGTAATTGGTGAATATTAAAATGTAATAAATATTTCGTGTATGTTTATAACAAAGACACATGTGATGGGAATTAAAATATTTGTGTATGTTTACGTTTAAAATGATGGGAATTAAAATTGTATTAAAATAAAGGACACATGTGCCGTGATATTTCTCACTGTTCAGCTAGCTTCTTTTTAATGTTTACGCGTGACCAATCTTTTTTAAGATTTGTGTACTCCGTTGGACTTAGTAGGGTATAATAAATCGTATTGAAGAACATTTTGAAAGATATGCAATTGGAGGATATTAAATGTAATAAATATTTCCTATATGTTTATAGCAAAGGAAAACATTAATATCTATGTTTAAAAGGACGGGATAAAAAATTGGATAAAAATTATGAAGTCACTTGTGTCGTTAAATTTCTTATTGTTCGGCTAGCTCGAATACCTCTTTGTAGACTACGTTTCGAGTCTTGTTGTCCTCCTCTAACAGTTCGTCCAACGTAGGAGGCATTGCTAGGACCTTCACCGCCTGGGATGTCTTTGCTCTGGATAGGGCGACGTACAACTGTCCATGTGAAAATACCGATTCGCGCAGATACAGGCCGACGTATTCGAGCGTCTGTCCCTGTGACTTGTTAATTGTCATGGCGAAGCAGAGCTTGATGGGAAATTGGAACCTCTTGAATGCGATGCCCTGTACGCCAATGTCGTCGCATTTGAGGGGAATCCTCGGGATGAACACCTTTTTGCCTGTGTGCGGTCCGAAAACAATCTCGGCCTTGATTGTGTGCCTTCCTAGCTGTTTGCAGAGCAACCGAGTGCCGTTTGAGAGGCCTTCGGTCGGGTTTAGATTACGAATTAGCATTATGGGACTGTTGTATTTCAATATGAGTTTGTGAGGGGTAAGCCTTTTGGATTGAGTGAGTTCAGGAAATCTTCGTAATCGACCTGGTACCTCTCGTCCTCAGTTCTGTCCTCGCTGATGTAGACATGTGGCTCTCCTGGAAACTGGTCAATCAGTTCGGCATTTAGTGCGTTGACCGCGTTGTTGGTAGGCGCCAAGATGGATCTCTTCATCATGTAGGAAGGATTGTCCGCGCAGTATTGTAGGTCCGAGAACAAGGATGCGACGAGCTTGTGGTATAGCGTGTGATGTTAGACTGTAGTTTTGTAGTTGATATCGTATTTTTTTGGAAACAAAGTTTTATGCACGAGGGAATACGAATTTTATGTGGGAATAATTAAAGATGTTTTTTATTCATGGCGTACCTGTTCAGCGAGCTCTCCTTGTTGTCATAAGGTATCATGTACTCCTTCGGTAGCTCAATCTGGGATGATTCGTCGACTGGTTCTGTTCCCTCGCCCACTCTAAGCAAGAATGATGAGAATTCTGGATCCAGTGCCGCCCGCATGTTGGTCGTGAGCTTCAGCTTCTTTATACTGGGCCACAGGTGAGAATTGAGGATGGAAGAGTCTATCATCTCCTCCTTAGACGCGTTCTTTATCACAGGGAGGGTCTGTCGGAAGTCGCCGCCGAAGATCACTACCTTGCCGCCGAACGGCAGTTCGTTACCCATTAGGTCCCGCATTAGCTCGTCGAACGACTCGAGGCTCGCCTTCCTCGCCATCGAGGCTTCGTCCCATACTATCAGTTTGGAGTCGATGATCAGCCTCGCCACGCTGCTCTGCTTGCTGACCTGGCACGTCGAGCCCTCGTCGTCGTTCACAGGTAGCTTGAGTCGGTTGTGAGCTGTTCGTCCGCCTGGCAGGGCCCACGCTGCGACCCCGGATGTCGCGACTGCCAGGGCCACGTCATGTTTTGACCTCACGGCTGCTAGGAGAGCCCGGTATAGGAAGGTCTTCCCGGTTCCGCCTGGTCCGTCCAGGAAGAATGGGCGCTCATTGTTGGATGAGATCGCTTCTAGGATCGTGTTGTACACTTCTTTCTGTTCTGTGTTGAGCTGTGTGTGTAGCGTCAGGTCTTCTGTTGCGACTTTGAAATTTCTCTCTGCCTTGTCTTCTTTCGTCATTGTAGATTCGTCGCCGTCGTCAAACTCTGATGGCCCGAAACCGAAATTTGTCAAATCCTTCCCCATCTGCATCACGTAGACATTTATTTCTTTGAGGGTCCTTTTCTATATGAATGTCTGGGTTACCCGTCGCTCTTTGAAGTCCCAGCTGATGTCGTCGGATAGGTGGTCCTTGAACTTGTTCCACAGCTTCTTCGGGTCGTCCGGCGAACACCAGACGAGTAGGATGGCGAACAGACACCGCATCGCTTAAAACCGAACCTTGATAATTGGTTGTGTCTTCTTGCTATTTTTATTTTTTGTGGACTTGGTTTTTTATCACCAAGAATGCTTATTTGCAGTTGATCTCAGTTTTAGTTATAACTTTTTTGCTATAATTGGTATTAATTTTGTCGTGTGGTTTTTGTAGGGAAATAAGGAGCATGTTTTCGATCAAACAACGTCGTAGTAGCGGTCGGCGTAGTTGGCTTCAGGATTTTCATTGTAATTTTAATGCCATTCCAAGGGATTTACAACTTGAGATTTTCAAAAAGCTTGATGCAATTAGTATTGGAACGTGTAGGCTTGTTTCGAAGTTGTGGAATAAAATTCTCACAGGTAATCAGACGATGTTGATGCTACGGCAAGCTCATTTACTTTCAAGTTATTGCGATAATTGTTTGTGTGTCAAGCAACAAGTAAGGAATCAGATATTAATTTGATAAAGTTCAACGTGGTGTGTACAAAAGATAATGAAGTGTCGTTCATTAACAAAGGCATGCATGCTTATATTCATCATGATGATCTTCGTCTTGTGATGCCGATAACATGTGATTTGGTGGGTTTGCGGACGGCACACACGGTTCAGATATTGAATCCTACAACCGGAGAGGTTCGGGAGTTAGCGCAACCGTTTCACGTAGAGAGTATTATTGATTATGTGTTTTGGTCTTTCAATTTTGGTTTTGCATCTGGTATAGATGAATACGTCGTGTTTTTCTTGCGTATGCTTGATGACCAGACAATGGAAGAGAGGATGTTGAGTTGGAGTTTCAATGAGGTATTATCTTCTCAAAAGAGAGTGTGGAAAGATGTATGTGGTCGTTGTCCACGTGTCGTCAATAGCGGAATAGTTGTGGATCGATATGTATTTACCGATTTGTAAAGGCTCAAACTATGGGGTGGAGGGTTTTACAGAAGATGAAGATTTGGTGTCTTTTATATATGTCAGCAAAAGTTTGAAATTATTTATGGAC